ATGCTGAAATGCAATAATTAGTCATAAAAATATGATTTCAATAACTTTTGATTTTGCAATTTATTTACGTATATTTAATTTATAAAAGATAAGAAAAAAATTTGTATATCATTTTAGTGTCAAGATCAAGGATCTTCGAATCTGGCCTGAAAAAAGAAAACGATAGAGGAAGAATTCATCTAGTTTTTGGACCAATTTTAATTTTGGCTCAATGTTTTGGTCTTTTACCGGTTAATGGTGTTCTCGCACTCACTGCTAGCGACTTAAAGTTAAAAAATAGTTGTCTTTTTTCATTCGGAAAACTTGCGTTTGTTTACATATCAGTTTATTTTTTTTTAATTTCATAAACTTAGTAGATGATTTTTAGGTTTTCATGGAAGAATTTCAAATTCTTGTACAGTTGCCTGGTATTGACTGGTTCAATTACTCTATTTTTACTCAGTGTCAAACAACTCATCATTGGTTCCATTGTTGCCGATAGAATAAGTAAGAAATTTTCTTTTATATTTTAGATACTATAGAAAAAAGTTATACCCTGATTTTTATTAATTAGTCTTTATTCAAATGCATTTTTTAAGCTCATTTCTTACAAATGGAAATCATTTTTATAAAAAGATCATTATTATATACGACTAACATACGGGAGTGCTATATTTATTTTTATTTATTTTATTTATAATTTTCAGGCAACGCAATATTCTACCTCAGCAGCAGTATAATAATTTTTTTGTTTATTAAAATTGCCTATCAGTGGCCTAAACTGATCATTTCTTGGGAAAAAGTAGATAAAGTACTAGCTTCCAGACATTATTTACAACACTCAAAGAGCTGCAGTCTTGATTTAAAATTGAAACTTTTTGCCTCACTTGTCATTTTCCTTGGTTTAGGTAAATCACTGAGTTAGTTTGTTTTTGTGTTCATAATTATAAAAAAATACGTTAATCAACAATGTTTAAAATAGTAACAGGTAGGTGATTTCATGACAATGCAACGTTGATTTATGTACAGTGGGCTTTCTATAACCTCATTTTAAAAATTTTTACCCTAATTTTTTTTAATTTAAGTGGTGTCCAAACAAGTTAGAAATTTTCAGACTTGACTCTATCGTATCAAATTGTAATATGAATTTATTGTTTAAAGTAGCTAAGACAAACATGGTTATATTTTTCTTGAAATAACCTATGTATCGTTACTAAAGTAAGAATCCTAAAAAATTTATTATAAAANTGCGCGAAATTATGTACAACTCGCTGAATCAAACGAGCACCAAAATTGTATCAATTACAATATTTTACAGAAAAGTGACGTTAGAAATAGTTCGTGTTAATTTCAGTAATTTTCAACACTAGACATGAAAAATATTTTTCTTTACGATTAATAATTATAATTACAACTTATTATAAAAATTTTATTTTATAGTGGAAAATATTCTGTCACTTTTGTATGGATGCCAAAACGCAGTGAATTTTGCTCAACCTCACGAAAAAAATGATACATGGAAAATTGTAGGTAGATTTTTTCTCGGCAATTTTCCACAGGTTAATATTTATGAGTTTTAAAAAAGTCTACTGGAGAAGTGTAGTACGCAACAAGTGCACAATAATTTTGATTTTGATTTTTGCACGATAGCTGAAGTTGTTAAATTAATCACACAAATTTATGTAATAATCACCCCAAACACAAGTCACGTGTGCAAAGATTTTAATTTTAATTTTTGCATGAGTATACTAACATTTTTAATAAAATCACACAAGTTCGATAATGACTTCTATGTGTTATTGTTAATTATGTATGCAAATCTGTGTGTGAAGTAAGCGTTTCACGCATTACACTCAAATCAGGACTTTTGTACCGTTTAAACAGGCATGAGAAGTTGAACTTTGCATATTGTTGACCAACCATGGGCACGAAGTACTATGTACGTTTAGCCCTGTAAACTACTGTTCAGTGTTTCTCAGAAAGCTCGTACTTTTTCAGGTTATGACAGAAAATAATTATGCCTTCTGGAAAGGATTAACAGCATATATTATAGTTCTCTATTGCACATTTTCATGGAACTTTATGGATCTTTTCCTTATTCTTGTTAGTGTAGCCCTTGTCGATCAATTTAAACAACTTAACCACAGGCTGCAAGCTGTTAAAGGAAAAGTAAGACTTATTTTCTGTAATTTTAATGTTTTTAAGTTATTATAAATTTATTTATAAAAGTTTCACTTGTTTTTCTGCCATGAGAATATTAAATAATTATTACATCAGGTAAAACTGATTTTTTATTTTATTTCAAGGGGATGTCAGAATGGTGGTGGACTACTGCACGCGCCGACTACAACTGTCTGACTGATATTATAGAACAAATCGATTCAAAAATATCAAGCGTCGTGTTATTATCATTTTCCGTCAATCTTTATTTCATCTGCATTCAGCTTCTTCATTCTTTCACGTATTTAAATATTCCTTGTTTATGACTTTATGAAAAAAATAAACAAATTTTGCCATTCACTCGTTCACTGTTTTAGATGGTGTTCATGCATAAAATAAATAAATATGTATAATATTTATGAATGACACGGATTAATCATAAGAAATCTTTTCATGATGATATAAAAATATTTGTTAAAATAATTTTTATACATTTTTACGAATTACTGATTATTTCTTACAGATTGAAGTCGACACCTCTTCATACGATATACTTCACCTTTTCTTTCGGCTTTCTAATATTAAGAGCATCGATGGTTTCATTATTTGCTGCTAAAATTCATGAAGAATCAAATCTACCCTCCTCGGTATTATACCGCGTTCCAACTGCAGATTATTCAACAGAGGTATAATTTGTCGATTGTAAATACATTTTTGTTTCAAGGTTGTTCTGCAGGAATCCCAAATTTATTTAATCATTGCCAAACATGGTAAAACTGTTTTGTATAGTAATGCTCTTACAATGTACTGTTAAAGTTAAAAGTTATATCTTTTCCGTTTCGGTGTATATGATAAGGGCGATTAAGTCGATGAATAACGTACTGTTAAATGGTCTTAAGTGACGTAAAACATACAAAAAAAATTTTAATTAACAAATGTCTGGACTTTCGAAGTACTTTAACAACATTGATAACAGTACATAAAAATTTATTAATTGATGTTCGAAACACGCTATGTTTAAATTTAAAAAAAAATATGCTGAAATGCAATAATTAGTCATAAAAATATGATTTCAATAACTTTTGATTTTGCAATTTATTTATAAAAAAAATTTTTTTTTATTTCTCAGTTGCCCTGGCAATGAAAAACAAGAAATTCTAAAGTCATATACAATTGAAAAATTTTACATCAGAATATTTATATAGTTTCAAATTTTATAATAATAACCGACTAATTTAATTGATAACATGGATTCGAAATCAGTATCTGGTAAGTTTCATTCAAGTCCACTAGTTTTGTCCATTGTATTTTTATGTTGTTTTTTTAAGAATTATTTGTTGTCATAAAATAAATAATATACATAGAAACAAAGTCACTTCATACAGAAAAACCTGTTAGAGATTTGTCTCACTGAAACTTTAATGCTTAGTGTGTAAAATCTAAAAAAAGTAATATGTTTTCATTTCCCTTGAAAGGAAATTACTGAA